TCATGTTGAACCTGAAATGCCATGAAAAATAAACAAAGTAAAATATATTTTATACTTTTTGGTTGCACAGTAGATAATCATGAACAAATGTATAAGCTTATAAAGTATGCCATAAAGTAGAATATTTATTAACTGTGTTGATGTAAATGGAAAAAACTGAATATAGGTTAGGATATTTTTAATAGACTGTAAAAAGGTGACAGTGACTTAAGTGCACATGTAACCTGAGACACACAAATGGAGCAATCATGGCAGGTATAGAAAAGGACAGAGGCCATTACTCTTCCTGCTCCCCATGATTATGCAAACATTTCTTTGCTAAGCTTAAAATTTTACTTAATATGCAAAAGTCTTCTTTGAATTCAAATATAATATGCTGTAAAAATATTGTGCAGTGACACCCAATTTTTCTGAAATCAATGAGGAGATGGAATATCCTCATGTCTTTTCTCAAAAACACCTTATAAATGCTTAAGAATAATTAATGGGCATCAAGTAAAATGCAATCAGGGTATATCCTAAACAAATTAACAATACTTATCAGATTAACTATATGCATCATAGTTTGTGCATATAACACATATACATTATGTTATATGCTAAATATGGTAAACATAAATAATAAAGTAACACACTATGCTGAAATCAAAAGCATCTCCCTACTAACAGATGACAAATTTTTACGCTTCCAATCACTGTGGTGTATTTTGAACAATGTGGAAAAATCAAAAGATCTCACATAAAATATTTTATTAGATTCGTGCTAATTAGAAGTCCTATCCTCTTGCTGAAAACAAAGAAAAATAAATAACTTTAAACAATGTTGATATATACATAGGTATTTCAAATTTGAAAATAAAAAAGAAATGGAAAATGTTTGACTTTTTAGATCAAAGTATATATTATCATAGTAAATAGTCATAAACTGTAAGGGGGTTGGAAACATAATAATATCACCTTTGAAATGGCTGTATGCAAAATTATACTGAGGGGAATGATGTCACCAAAAATGTTACTGTAAGGAACCTCAAAACCATTTTGCTCAACTAAAGCAATGATCGAGATGTCAGAAACAATCAGAATCAAGTTTTTTAAATTATAAAATATATTTTTAAAAAACTAGGATAATACTTAATGAAGAAACTGCTGAGGAAAAAAAAGTATTCTGTTGTTTTAACTTTCCCAACAACAAACACACAGTGAATTACTAAATAAATGAGTACAAGCCACAAAAATCAGCAACAACAATTCCTAGGAGAGTAGGGGTATTTTTCCAGATAAACCCCATTTATAATAATTCAAAATATCCAATATTCAAAAAAGTATATGAAGCATTCAGGGAACACAAATGAAAAGTATTCTCAAAAGGAAAAGAAAATTCACAGACACTGCCCCTGAGGAAACACAGACAATGAAATGACAAGTGACAAATATTATTTGCTTGGCCAAACTTGAGTGAGTCTCTTAGACCTTCTCCTAGGCCTGTCTATGTTCTACAACAATGTTTACTTTTAGCAAAGAATTGTGCTTTGTGGCTTAAGCGTCCCCTTAGAAACTCATGTTAAAATGTATTTGTCATTGTGATGACAGTAAGAGGTGGAACATTTAAGAGGTAATTATGTCAAGAGGAATCTGCCCTCATAAGTGGATTAAAGAAGTTATTGTGCAAGTGAAGTCAGTTATCACAGGAGTGGGCTCCTTGAAATAGACACAGCTGGATTTTGTGAGAAGTTAGAATGAGTGAAGCTAAGCTGTATGGAAAGCAATGAGGTCTGTTGGAAAACAGGGAGACTCAGAGTACAGGGATAAATCTCTTCTCCCATACCAAGGAGAGAAAATACAAGTTTATATGTTTAAAATTGCATAAATTAAACTAGAACTTCATTGATTAGAATTTTCAGCAACAGGTTTTCCTCTATAAAGACTTGTATTAGTCTATTGGAAAGCTTAAAGTAGTTCATTTTAATTCTGCATTCAACATTCTCAGATCACCTCATTCTTAAATGTCATAATTATTTTTCATTATCGGTGAAAAATTTATGAAATTTTTCATCATTCTAAAAGTTCTGATTTGCTGAATTGTGTTAATTTTATTCATTATGAGTTTTATTCCAAAGTCAATTTTATTTTTTAACCTTTATTGTGATGTAACAGGTGTACAAAAATTGAACACATTTAATCTTTCTATATATCTTGATGAGTTTGAATATATGAATACACCCTAGATACCACCTCTACATAACCAAGGTACAAAGTATGTGGTGTACAAAATGTTTTAGTGTTTTACACACACACACACACACACACACACACACACACACACACACGGGAGCAGGAGAGGGACATACCTAACATGGATTTTTTTTTCATTGTTTTTCCTAATGTCAGTTGTCTGGTGTGAAATCTAATAGAAGGTTTCAGAACTTTAAGATTAACTAAAGATAAATATTATTCAACTTTCCCTCATTCTTGACACTGAGACAGTATTGGTAGTGTGGATTTTCACATTGCCATAACTGTAACTCCACAAATAAAGAATTTCTCATTGTTTTCACTAATAACTTCTCCATTGTAAAATATTTGGTGTTCATCAGAGGTTTCTCATCATATAAAAGACTTCCTCACTTACTGTTTAACAGGTTATTCCTTCAATGAGTTTTCTTGTGTACGTCAAGGTTGGTGCCTGCCAAATGTTTGTTTAAAGTTATTCTAAATATAGGGGTCGTGCCATGTTGCTTAACAATAGATTATGAATAAAGGCACTTTCACAGTGATTATAGAATTAGGAATATTCCTCTGCACGAGTCCTCTATTGCATTTAACGTTTTGATTGGTTGCTAAAGACTTACATTCATTGTTTTTATTCTCTCATTGTCATTTGTGATCAGACCACTTAGTAAAAGCTTTGGTACACGGATATCATACATATGGATTATTTTCCATATAAATATTTTAGCTCAACTGAGTAATGAGTGAGGAGTTTTCCTAATCGATTGCTTTTTTTATTGTGTAGTTGGCTAGTGTGTTTACATATTAAAACTATGGCTGAATTATCTTCCACATTAATGTTTTTTAGAGATAGGGACTCACTCTGTCACCCAGGCTACAGTGCACTGGTGCAATCATAACTCACTGCAGCCTGAAATTCCTGGGCTATAGCAATTCTCATGCCCCAGACTCCTGAGTACTTCAGACTACAGGTACATGCCATCAAACCTGGCTATTTTTGTAAATATTTATAAACTGGGTCTTGCTACATTGTCTAGGTTGATCTCAAACTCCTGATCTCAAGTGATCTTCCTGCATCATCCTCCTAAAGTGCTGGGATTACAAGCATAAGCCACCATATCTAGTCCCACATTAATTACATTTCTAATGCTTTGTCATCCATGGTCCAAATATTTCCTAAAGACATTTCTAATTGTCTCTCTGGTGTACAGTTCCATCGTGTTGTCTAAGGGAGGAATGGTGACTGAAGGACTTGAGACAGAAGGCATTTTTATCACTGCCCTCCAGTGTGAGTTTTCTCATGCATTCTAAGAACATAACTTTGACTGAAGGCTTTCCCACATAAATGACATTCATATGGTTTCTCTCCAGTGTGAGTTCTCTCATGTCGCTTAATAATAGATGTTTGAATAAAGGTTTCCCCACATATATTTCACTCATATGGTTTCTCTCCAGTGTGAATCCTCTCTTGTTGTTTAAGCACAGAACTTTCAATGAAGGATTTCCCACAAAAATGACATTTATATTGTTTCTCTCCAGTGTGAGTTTTCTGATGTTGTCTAAGGTAAGAACATTGACCGAAGGCTTTCTCACATGCACAACATTCATACGGTTTCTCTGAAGTGTGAGGTCTCTTATGTCATCTAAGGCCAGAGCTTTCAGTAAAAAATTTCCCACAATAATGGCATTTATATGGTTTCTCTCTCCTGTGACTTTTCTCATGCCTTCTAAAGTGAGAATATTGATGAAGGGCTTTCCCACATATGTGGCATTCATATGGTTTCTCTCCAATGTGAGCTCTCTCATGTTCTCTAAGGACAACTCTTTGACTGAAGGATTTTCCATATATGTGACATTCATATGGTTTCTCTCCACTGTGAATTCTTTCATATTGTCTAAGATGAGAACACTGGAGGAAGGCTTCCCCAAATATGTGGCATTCACATGGTTTCTCTCCACTGTGAATTATTTCATGTTGTCCAAGATGAGAACACTAAATGAAAGCTTTCCCACATACGTGGCATTCATATGGTTTCTCTCCACTGTGAATTCTTTCATATTGTCTACAGTTAGAGCAATTACTGAAGAATTTCCTACATAGAAGACACTCATATGATTTACCTCCAGTATGAATTTGTTTATGTTGACTGATGCTTGACTGGTCACTAAAGGATTTTTCACACTGCTTGCTGGCATAGGATTACTTTTGTGTGTGAGTTAACAAATGTCGAAGAGTCACTACTGAGTTATTAGTGAAATCTTCTGCCAAACCATGAAATTCAAGAAGATCCTCTTAAGAATGAGATTTCTGATTTTGGGAAGGACATAAAAGACTATCAATGCTTTGTACACATACATCCATACACTATTTTATTTACATATGAAGTCTAGTTAATCATCCAGTTAAAATGTTTTCATTGTAAATTGAATACACATAAAGTATTACTTCTCAGCACATACAAATATTTTTTCTTTGCATTCTCTAGAATTTCAATCATAGAATAATCAGATCAATTGTGAAGAGATTAATGTTTTTCAAAAAATAGGGCATAAACAATTTTTCTCATATGTTTTTGTTTCATTTTTAAAGATCTCAGGTGATAATTTTAAGCTAAGATTAATTTCTTCACTAAATTTAAACTGTCCAAACATTTTGCTCAGAACTGTTAATAATATATTAATTGCAATCAGGTGGTTGTTCTCAGTTACTAACTTATCCTATTCCTACATCTCTAATTTGCATAACCAGTATTCATACACATGATACCTACCCATTAGGATGATGACAGTTGTGCCTCTCCTGCTGACATGATGCGTGGATGTCATTTGGCTTTCAAGTGCACTTTCTCCACCTAAAATAATTGAGAAAATATATGTCAGAGTGATATTAAGGGATTAAAAATGTTGAAAATAACCAAGGCTCATTTAGTGTGTTTTAAAAATATATACATAAATTGAGCTAATGTGTCAAAGAATGGAATACTCTAAATAGTAAAGATACATTTATAAAGAACTGACAATTAGAAAAACTATAATATGAATAAAGTAAAATGGAGATGAGATAAATGGAAAATTTTCAAAACGGTGTATCAGGACAAGAATCACTATGTGAAAGTTTAACTTCAAGAGCATAAATATCCTTTATTCTAAACTAAGATAATGGTAGTAGGACACATTACTAACAGTTGATATATGCCAGTAATGACATCTGAGTGATTTTGTGCCACTTTCTTCATCTTTATTTTAGAAAATATCACTCACTTAAGATCTTCAAAATTTTTGATATTTCAAAAAATCACTGATCAGGCACCTCCTCATTGAAGCACAGGTTTTTGCTGCTTACTTGTTCTCAGGTCTTGGAAAAATGTTCTTTCTTTCCATAGCTCCTTTCCTTGCTCTGGTTGGAAAATCACACCTAATTTGTGGAGTGGATACCCTGTTCATGGTAAAAAGGCATACAGATTTTAAATTATGTGCTAATAAGCATGCATTTTCACCAAGTGTAGGCCAGGCTACAACAAAGGAATAGCCGAAATAAAGTTTAGCCAAGTTAACAACACCTTGAAGAAAGAAAGGTCTGTCATGAGATTTCAAAAATTCAGGTTGTGTGCCCCAAAACAGTGAGGAACTACAGATGCTGATGCCTATGCCCAAGTTTGAGGACAGAATGCAGAAGCATTGGTCTTACCTAAATGAGAGAAACAAATGTCTCCAAAGTGGGGTAAATATTTTCAGACAGAAGCACATAATCATAAAGTTTCACAAAAGATGTATGTTCTATATGTATAAGAATATGCCCATTGGTTTCATTCATCTGGTTTCAAGCCTTAGAATAGTGGCTAGAACAGAAGCGTTACATAGAAGTTATGTAAACTATTTATTACTTATTTATGCACTCAAAAATATTCATGAACTTTCCAGATCTCCTCCAATGGAGATTAAGTAGCAAAAAGTACAGAAAATCATGTTCAGGATTATACTGTAGCAGGGTGAAAAATCATAGGTAAGTAAGTAAAATGGAAAGAAAAATAATTCTTTCAGACCAAGCACAGTGGCTTATGTCTGTAATCCCAGGAATTTGGGAGGCCAAGGAAGGAGGATCCCTTGAGCTCAGGAGTTTGAGACAAGCCTAGGCAACACAGTGAGACCTTATCGCTATAGAAAATAAAATAATTTAGTCAATGGAGTATGGGATGTGCCTGTAATCCCAGCTACTCAGGAGGCTGAGGTAAAAGGGTCGCTGTAGTGACCCAAGATTGTATCATTACATTCCAGCCTGGGGGAACAGAATGAGACCTTGTATTAAAATATATTAATTAATTAAATTAAAATTTCATGTAATTATAAGGGCTATGAAAGAATCATGGCAGAGATTGAAGGTGCATGGCCAAAGATGTTTTAGATTCTTGCTGAAGGAATACACACATATATAAAGAGACATACATAAATGTAGGCGGACTCACCAATGCTGACCAGATGACTGGTAATTTCCAGCATCACATCTTTGTACAGCTTCTTCTGTGATGTGTTTAGCAAGGCCCCTTCTTCCTGGGTGAAGTCTACAGCTATGTCTTCAAATGTCAACGATTCCTAAAATATCAGACATTCAGATTTAAACAAATTAATCTTTGCCAAAGTCCAGAGGAGGACAGTTGAGATGACAGCACTGAAGAAGAGGAAGTAACTAGGTCTATGGAAATATCAAAGCACAATTTGAGCTCCAGCCAGTTCATTCTCGGTACTGAGCTAGCATCTTTACCTTTTAAATACATTCTCAGAGACAAATGATCTAAATTCATAAAAGTTTATTGTAAAGGTATATAACATGAGTTGTAGCATAATATAACTTGTAAATTGTTCAACAAACTGGTAATTTTGACTTCCAAAAAGTAATTATAAAATTTTCACTTGAAAATTCATAACTGCAACTCCTTTCCCATCAATTTCAAGTAACTTACAGAATAATCACAAGGCAAATAATACTTATGATTTGTTGCTTTGTAACTATACTTATGGTTAAATTACTCTGCTAAATGAACCATAGGTTCCTCATTTATCAATTGATTTAATAACTTACTATGTGTGTTGGAAGAAAAAAACCTATGTAGGAAGTTTTTTTTTTTTTTTTTTTTTTTACTTAGAAAATAAACATTAAATACAAACCATTAGTCTATTATTCATTAAAAATACAGACAGACTTGAAACAATCGTAAGCATTTTTCAGAACTCAATGAGTTTTTTACAGAAATTAGGATCTGTGGGCATGTCTCCCTCAACTCTACCTGACTCAAATGCACATAAAAAGGCTCAAAGACAATGCAGCAGAACAAACCAGGAACCTCTAAGACTGCTGTTCCAAAGGGCAGTATTAGCCTGATCATTCTTGAGGTATGAGGCTTTCTAATCTGAATTTTCCCTGAAAATTTCAAGCACCAGTTATCAATTTATTTCTTTGAACTTCATCTTGTCTATTTGCTCAAGGTTTAAACAAATTTCTTTATTAGCTTATGGTCTATATTTCTGCAAAAATTTCCACAGGGCTTAAATTTTATTCCACCAATTACACTCCTTCTCATGAATCTATAGACTCAATTTAAAAAATATACCTATGCATTGCTTTCAATTATCAAATTTGAGAACAAGATAATTACATAGAGGAAAGTGGTGTGATTAGAGACAAGGACGATGAAGAGAATTTTAGGTATTGTCTTTAAACAGTTCAAAATTACAAATACATTTAATCAAAAATTTAAGAAATTTAAAAGAGAAAAATTAAATTATACCTCATGCTTTCTCTGGTCTAAAACCTTTTTATGTGCCTCTTAACACTGCACAGCGCTCACCCAGGACCTGTCACACTAGATTCATTAAACTCACATGGGAAAATACCTGGCTCCCTTTTGGACTATAACATTTCAAGTGCAAATGAGTGTTCTTCAATCATCTCTATGACCTGCATTCATCACAATCCTAAACCCATTACAGCCAATAACACTGTTAATGTGTCCACTATTTCACAGTTAGATCATGGGTTTCATGAAATAAATAAAATTTATCAACTCTTATTTAAACGCACATTTTTAATGGAGGCTAAAATACATTTATATACTTATGGAAGAAGATTAATTATTGATGAGTTCCTGACCAAGGATACTCATCCTAGAGTCTTGGGGAAGTATGACAAAAGCTCTGATCCCTAATACCTGTTGATTGCACTTAGAACATGCATGACAATGGAAGAAGACCTACACATTTTCTGAAAATATGTGTGTAACTTAAGTAAAAAGAGACATTTCATACTCACCTGTGGCTGCATTTTCAATGACTGTGATGCAAGGAGTCCACTTCCGGATTTTCACAGACAGCCCCAGCACTAAGAAGGCAAAGCTGAGGACAGGAAAGAAAACATGAGACAATAGTCTTGTACAATTTCCAGACCAACTTGTCATGAAACTTCAGACCTTAGCCTCATTGTGATTCTCAGGCCAAATGATGGAGCCATGCAGAGCACACTAAGACAAACACACAGAGGACTGTCCTCCTCACCCAGGGGCAAAAGTAAGAAGGTTGGGAGAAAATTCAAATGAATGAATAGGTTTGGATAGAAGTATGTGGCCCTGCTAAACCCCATTGACCTAGTAGTGACTTCAAAATGCCTCAGTGTGCTGCTAAAGGCTTCCCCAGGCTGAGAAGTAAGCCTGCATTCATACGTATCTGAGAAGCAGAACCTCTAGCCCTGCCCATGCCGAGTGTCTCAGCAGGAAGCCCAGAAACCTCACTTAAATTCAGAACCAAGTATATCTCCCTGTTCAACTACGGATTCTAAAGAATGATACAGCCTAGCCATGGAAGGCAGCCTGTAACCCTGCCCAATCAGAGGAGATTACAGAGCACAGAGAGCAGTTTCACCTGACCACAGATTCCTGCTATTGGTATCAACAGATCATAGAAAACAGCCAGCAGTTCCACTTGATCTCACAGAATAGTTATCAGCTGGAGAAACTAACAGCAAGGTCTCACTGTCTAGAGTTTCTGCTAGTTGGCTCATCAAGAATTCTAGACTACACTGAACAGTGAAGGTCAATCTAGACAGAATAATCAGCAAGCATGAAGAGAAGACATCTAAAATAATCCAGTCACAATAACAAAAAAGGCAAGAATGAAAAATAATAAAGAAGTCCTATGGGAATTATGGGACACGACAAAAAAAATTTACCTTGACATAATAGTAGTTCCAAAAGGAGAAGATAGAGGGGAAAAAATCCCCAAAAGCAAATATAAATAAAAATGGCTTAAAATTTCCCAAATCTGGGGAAAGACAACAACATCCAGGTACAGAAAAGTTACAAATATCCAGTCATCCAAAAGGAGTTCACCAAGATATATCACAATCAAATGATCAAGAATCAAAACAAAAGGATTCTGAAAGCAGTAAGACATAAGAAACATATAACATTCAAGCGAGTCTGGTTATGGCTTTGAGAAGATTTCTCAGCAGAAACAAAGCAGACCAGAAAGGTTGAACAATATATTCAAAAATGCTGAAAAAAAAAGTCCAATCAAGAATACTCAGCAAAGATGCTCTTCAGAAATGAGAGAGAAATACTTTTCCCAGACAGATAACAGTTAAGGTAGGTAATCATCACTAGGCCTGTCTTACCAAAATTGCTAAAGCGAGTTTAAGCTGAAACAAAAACCTGGAAATTAATGATATAAAATATATGAAGGTAAAATAACATGATATAAGCAATATATATTCATATTCAGAATACTCTAATCATACAAGTGATGTTAAAGCAATTTATATGCACTATGAGGGTGAAAAAAACTAGTTTAAAATCTAGCTATAATAAATTCTTAAGGGATACAAATTACAAAAGGAAATGTAAATTTAGACATCAATACCACAAATGGTGACAGGGAAAGTGAAAAGTGCAAAAGTTTTGCATGTAATTAACACTAAGTTGTCATCAGCTTAAAATAGCCTGTTACATAAGAGTCAAAGTATACCACGACAGAACATCATCAAAACACAAAAAAAGACAAGAAAGGAAGGAACAAAAACCCTCCTACAAAACAACCAGAAAATAAATTACAAAATTGCAGTAGTAAGTCCTTAACTATCAATAATTACCTTAAATGTAAATGAATTAAATTTTCCTTTCAAAAAACATGAGTGGTTTGAAATGAAAAACAATTCCCAACTATATGCTGCCTAAAAGAAGCACACTTTGATAGTAAGGTCGCATAGGCCAAGCATGATGGTTCATGGCTGTAATACCAGCATTTTGGGAGTCCAAGGAAGAAGGATTACTTAAGGCCAGAAATCTTTGCAAAGTATGCATCTGATGAAGGACTAATATCCAGAATCTACAAGGAACTCATACAAATCAGCAAGAAAAAATACAAGTAATCCCATAAAAAAGTAGGCAAAGGACATGAATAGACAATTCTCAGAAGAAAATATAAAAATACCCAACAAGCATATGGAAAAATGCTTGACATCACTAATTATCATGGAAATCCAAATCAAAACCACAATGAGATGCCATCTTACTCCCGCAAAAATGGCCATAATTATAAAATCAAAAAATAATAAATGTTTGCATGAATGAGGTGAAAAGGGAAAATACAGTGCTGGTGAAAATGTTAATTGGTACAACCATTATAGAAAACTGTATAAAATGTATGGTGATTCCTTCAAAAAGTAGAACTACCATTCTATTAAAAACAAAAGAAGTCATTATATGAAAAAGACACTTGCATATGCATGTTTTTAGCTGCACAATTTGCAACTGCAAAAATACAGAACCAGCCTAAATGACCATCAACCAACAAGTGGATAAAGAAAATGTGGTATATATACACCATGGAATACTGCTCAGCCATTAAAAACAAATAATGGCATTTCCAGCAACTTGGATGGAGCTGGAGACCATTATTCTAAGTGAAGTAACTCAGGAATGGGAAATCAAATATCGTATGTTCTCACTTGGAAGAAGGAGCTAAGCTATGAGGACCCAAAGGTATAAGAATGATACAGTGGACTTTGAGGACTCATGGGGAAGGCTGAGAGAGTAGTGAGGGATAAAAGACAAACATTGAGTACAGTGTACACTGCTCAGGTGACAGGTGCACCAAAATCTCCAAAATCACCACTAAAGAACATATCCATGTAACCAAAAAACACCTGTTCCCTGAAAAACTATTGAAATAAAATAAAAGAAAAAAATATACCAATAAATGCCTGTATCAAAAAGAAGATAGATCTTAAATAAACAATCTAATGTTTCACCTCAAGGACCTAAAAAAAGAAAAAGAAAAAAACTAAGCCCAAAGTTAGCAGAGGGAAAAAAATTGGAGGAGAAATAAATAAAATAAAAATTAGAGAAAGACTAGAAAGAAATTCATAAAACTAAGAGCTGTTTTTTAGAAAATGTAAACCAAATATACAAACCGTTAACCAGGCTAGAACAAAAAGAAGGCTCATATAAATAAAATGAAAAATGCAAGAGAAGATATTACAGCAGATACCACAGAAATACAAATGATTATAGGAAATTTCTATGAAAAGTTATACACCAACAAATTAATCTATAAATGAAAATGTTCTAGACACATACAACCAAATGGATACATTTCTAGACACATACAAACTAGCAAGACTGAAGCACAACTAAATAAAAAATCTGAATAGACCAGTAATTAGTAAGAAGATTGAAATACTAAGTAAAAATCTCTCATCAGAGAAAACCACAGGACCAAATGGCTTCACAGGTGAACTCTAACACATTTAAAGATAACTAGTATGAATTTTTCTCAAACTCTTCCAAAAAATTGAAATGAAGAAAATACTTCCAATCTAATTTTACAAGGCCAGTATTACCCTGATACCGAAGCCAGACAAGGACACTATAAGAAAAAAATGCATGCCAAAATTCCTGGTGAACATTGATGCAAAAGTCCTCAATGAAATATGAGTGAACTGAATATAACATCTTTCAAAAGTCATTCACCATAATCAAGAGAAATTTATCCCAAGAATGCAAGGATGGTTCAACATATGCAAATCTACAAATGTGATCTACCACCTTAACAAAATAAAAGGTTAAAAACATGTCTCAATAGATGAGAAAAAAGCATTTGATAAAATTCAACACACCTTTATAATGAAAACTCTTAGATTAAATACAGAAGGTAGCTACCGAAACCCAATAAAGACCATATACGACAAACTCATAGCTAACATCGTTCAAAGGTAAAAAGTTGAAAGCTTTTTGTCTAAGATAAGGGACAAGACACAGGTGTCCATTTTCAATGCTTCTCTTCACTGTAATGCTTGAAGTCCCAGCCAGAGCAATACAGCAAGAAAAAAAAATAGCAACAAAATTTAAAAGGAGGAAGTCAAATTGTCCCTTTTTGCAGATGATATAATCTTATACCTTGAAAAGCCTAAAGACTTCATCAAAATTCTCTTAGATCTGATAAACAGTCAAGTGGTAGGATATTAATCAACCTAGAAAAATCATCAGTGTTTTCATACACCAATAATTAACTAGCTGATAAAAAAATAAAAAGACAATACCATTTACAATAGTTACAAAAAATAACAAAATACCTAGAAATACATTTAACCAAGAAGATGAAAGATCTCTACAAGGAAAACAACAATACACTGATGAAATAAACACAAACAAATGGAAACAAATGGAAGAAACACAAACAAATGAGACACAATTAATAAGACGTAAACAAATGGAAAGACATACCACATTTGTGGATCAGAAGCATTAATATCATTAAAATTACCATAATGCCTAAAGCAACCTACAGAATCAACATAATCTCTATCAAAGTACCAATGTCATTTTTCACAGAAACAGACAATTAATTATAGAATTTATATAGAATAAAAAAAGAGTACACATTGTCAAAGCCATCCCAAGCAAAAAGTACAAAGCTGGAGGCATCATATTACCTGGCTTCAAAATATATCACAAAACTGTAATAACCAAAACAGCATAGTAGTGGTATAAAAACAGCTACACAGACCAATGAAACAGAGTAATGAACTCAGAGATAAATTCGTGTATTTATATATTTACAGTCAACTGATTTTCAACAAAGATGTCAAGAATACCACAGGGGAAAGGTAACTCTCTTCAATAAATTGTGCTGGGAAAATCTGACGTCCATATGCATAAAAAATGCCTAACTTTCACCATATGCAAAAATCAAATCAAGAGGGATTAAAACATAAATGTAGGACCTGAAACTGTAAAACTATAAAAATAAAACAGAGAACAAAACCTTCAGGACATTGAGCTAGGCAAAAATTTTAGGGCTAAGACCTCAAACGCACAGGCAACAAAAACAAAACTAAAACA